CATTTAGATTTGTTTTTATAATTTTTTAAACCGTATTATTTGCAGCTAACGTTCCGTGCAATAAATTGATTATTAAGAATGAAATATTGGTAAAATTATCGCTTATTCTGCATATTGCAGTTTAATTTTTAGGCAACCAAAGCGGATGTAGAAAGAGTAGTCTTTCACTATCAATGATGCGTTGATATATATACCGGTATATGTTTCATCTTTCTATGCTATCAGAGTGCTTTTCTTAACACTTCATGGAGTAAGAGAAATTTACCTATTTTTTCGTAGATCCTAGACACTTACTTGGAAACTCCACTCTTGCTGTACGTACACATAGCTGAGCTTGTTGTGGCTCGTTCCCGATACGATCACCGTGTCTGTGATACCAATTTAGGCGGCTCGCGCTTACCGTCGCAAAGTGATCGTGTGCTCGGCGTACTAGGTTTATTACAGCCGTGAATATCGAGAGAAATTACTGCTATCGTTCATGGTATACCAGTCCATATTTTTACTCCTTTTTATCTGAAACAGTTTTGGGATGAGAAAGACAAAGTAAATAAAAAGAGTGGGAGGAGGCTGATCTTGTGTTTTTTGTATGTTACCTTGTATGGTGAAATAGTCATCAAAGAAGTATAGACAATCATTTTTGTCCGTTTTTGTTACGCAATACCCATTTCCGGTTTCTTACGAATCCTTTAGCTAGGAAAAGGGGATTTATCAAGCTACATGAATGTGTTTATTGTTGCTATTTTATATCCAGGAGCGAAAATAAATCCCTGAAAAGTTTTGTATGAAATATTTTAAAAGGTTATTGTATAACATTTTATTGATAATTATTTTAAATATGCCTACAACACAAAATCATATTTTGCAATGTGTTTATCTTAAAAGATCACTAATTAATGTTTTCTGCTATTATAAGATTAGTTTAGATTTAAGGTTGGAACTCCATGGCTACCACTCCAACGAATGTGTGATAGTTTCGCCGTATTTCCAAAAACATACTAGCTTTATATCAAATGGATTTTTTAAATGCCTTTCACTACAGACAAGTATCTATTTAAAAAGAACCAGAATCTATTCTCTTCTCTCTAAGAGAGAGAAGATTTTATTTTGAAAAACTCAGCGATTCATAATTTCCTGGAAATTAGGAAGTGCATGCACATCATATATTTTTCCTTAAAGCGTACTTACAAAACGAGGTCGCGAAAATTGGAAAATCTGGTAATGAACGGATCAAAGTTGACTACCGACTATTGAAGATAAAAATGAAGTTTATGCGAGTCTAGACTGACGTATCCTAAGGCAATTCTGTGGCCTACGTCGTATTATGACGCCACAAGGTGTCCAATTTGATCTTCAGCACAGGGCACGGACTCAAATTTTCGTGACCGTCCCACTCAATGAGTTATACCGATAGTTATAATATTAAAATTGCGGGTTTAAGTGTAAAAATAATATGTTATTGTATTGCGGTATCAAGTGACTCATTTTTACAAAATAAAATGCACGTTTTCGTGTTTTGTATAACATTATTTGACAAATAGAATTTGTTTTCAAATAATCCGTACTTTGTTGTGAAATTGTTTGGTAAACATATTTTTATCTCCGACAATCAATTTTAAAGTAAAACTTCGAATTCTGATTCCTCCGCCATAAACAACGTCATCCCTGGTCATGTTTTCGAGCATGCAAATAATATGACCTAAAAGTACTTATTCAACAATTGAACTTCTGGTTGTTGTATGATTGTAGCCCAAAAGTTTCGATAATCTAGGATGATTTGTACAAAAGTTATTTTCTCTCTAGAATATGTTTCAAATAGCCCAAGTTCTGTTTTTGTTAGGTCACCCTGTAAGAGAGATGAGATCAACACGTAGAGCAAAGTCGATAGAACACCCTAAATAAAGGGTAGCTTACCTGGGGGTTATTTTATTCTACACCAGCAGAAGGGTGGGGGGGGGAAGGTTTTTGGACAACGAGCCAAAAAATTTGCCCACCTAGACTGACAGATCATGTAGGTATGACGTAAAAAGTTAAATTTTATAAACAATATTCACAGTGTGACAAAAGCAGAAGTAGGAAACAATAAGCCTCGTGCCAAAACTGAATTAATCTCAATCTTAACAAATTGCTTGAGCTGTTTTTAAAAAAAACACGTCAAAATTTGGGTTTATTTTGGTTGTGGAAGCAGCAGGCGGGCTAGATTGAATCACCCAACTATCCGGATTGGGCACACGGATCGTAGTTTGCCCACGTCAGTTCTACACACTACACAACATTTCATGAAAATTCATTCTCCGAAGAATCTAGAATTCAGAAAAATGAGGTTACACTGTTAAAAGCAAGTTTGCTTTGCCAGTATTTTTTTTTTTTCGAGATGGAGTTGTATTTTAAAGGTAACTTAATGAAATCATTTTTTTATTTTTTGCGATTTTTTTTTTTTTAAGAAAATGACGTGACAGTATCACTGATGAATTACAACTATGTTCGCAGGGATTTTATATATATTTGGTCCATATTTGAACCGAACATATACATTACAATTTACAACCTTGATACAAGTTTTGAAATCTGTAAACGCGGGCAAAATAACCCTTGTACTATTACTTATTTATTTATATATGGAAAATTATATTTACTCTAAGCGAAGACACGCGACCTCTTTAGATATTAACTTTTTGGTACTCCCGTAGTTTGTGTACCAGGTTATGGTCAGGCCATAATTTTATTCGGATTGGCCTTGTTTTAGTTCTATTACGAATTCGGAATCTGTCTATGTTAGCCAAGTGAATATACCCCCTGCCTATAGCAGGCTTCAGTCTTTTTACACAACTTGATGTAAAGTGGGCGAACAAAAATAGTAAACTAAAGTAAACTAACTACATATTGGTACACACACTTCCAGAGAGCGGGAGTTTCAGTGGAGAGGAAGCACATAACCAAGAATGGCCATGATGCAACGACTAAAAAATCATTTGCAGATTTAAATTTCAGCGATTGCAAAATTCATTTAGGATCAATGACTACAAGAAAAATTTATCAATGGCTTTGTTTCCTATTTGTATGAGGTCTCAAAGTTGATACAAAAATATTATCAAAATAAATCGAATTACACTTGAATCTTACACCAAACAAGATATAAAACATATTCATTTACTTATGCTGAATATTTGTCTCGATGTTTGGCCTTATTTTGCGTTGGTTTGCTTGTTTTAATACAGAATGCAAAAGCTCGTCCGTTAGTCGTGTGCGGAGAGCTGACTTGCTAACTTTCATAGTTGAAAAAAACTGCTCGCAAATGCGGGCCGCGTGTTGGAGACCCCTAATCTAGACTAAGTGGGAATATTTATAAATTGGACAAAAACTGTGAAGTTATAAGAATTCTGAAAACAAATACAGTTGTTTTTATTTTACTCATCACGTGTTTCCTGATCAATATTTATCATTTTTGAAAGCGAAACTAAATTTTTATTTTTTGTTTTTTCGAACATTTAAATATTAAAAAAATATAAATATTGACAAATACAATCGCGATATGAGTAGCTGTTGGGGATTATAAATAAAATAAAAGAATGCCAATTTTATCAATTATACAGGTTGGTCGTTGAAAACAAGAAATTTTGTCAAACAGGTTTTTGTTTTTGCAAAGGAAAACCTTTTTCAAAGTTTTTTTGGTGCCTATGTTATATTACACTCATAGGTTCTCAAAATGTCATCCGTGTGCTTCAGAACAGTGTCTTAGCCTAGAATTACAAGCTTGTGTAGCATTTTGAAAGTTAACTTGTGGGAAATCGTTCCAATTCAATCCGCATTTTATTCGTGATCTCATCTGACTGTACCCCGCGCTGGTAAGGAAGAATAATATTAGATTCCGCTATGATCCTTCGACACGAATACAACACACAAGTCCGTTGTGACAGATATTCATGTATCGATCAAACTAGGCCATATTAATCTAAGCCAGTGGTTCTCAAACTTTTCAAGCCGCGCCTCTTTTTTAAAATTTGTCAAGTCCCGCGTCTCACCTCAGAAATAACCAGTCAACAATAAGCTACAAATAACAGATAGTAAGGAGAAAGCATGTTTCATTGAAAAAAAACATGAAAAGTAAAAACACGTTGAAAATACGTCAATAGAACGTAATAATGAAATAAATAAAAAGTTTTGAAATGTAAATATCCCAAATAAGGTCAAATCTAACAAAATTTTTAATTAGTTTAACGTCCCCTCAAAAAAAAAATTATTATACGCCCCCCTGTGGGGCACGCCCCATCGTTTGAGAACCACTAATCTAAGCGATTCAAGAAGATATTTTTGTCAGAAGTTCAGAAGTTGGTCAGTAATTACAAGTAATCATAAAACATTACAGTGCAATATCAGTTAACATGACACTTCTTTCTTACAGTATAAATGAAATTTACGCTAACGAAATACATGTATCGACCAAGCTTGGCCAGTGATATCCATATAAGCTTCGTAAAAACGTGAGATATTTTGACAAAAGTCAGTAAATTTTATTTTGAAAATTATGTTCTGCAAGACTTTTTAAATTGCAACATGTTTTGCGGCACTCGCTTTCATTTGTGGCGTGAACACCAATTTAGTACGCAATCTGTGATCACAATATCTGTATTTATTACTAGAAAATTCAATTTTATAATTATTGATTATAATTTACATCTAGAACTTCACTGGGTCGGTGTGTTATTATTATACGTAAAATTAAAAATAGTACTTTGAAAATGGGTTGTTGCGATATGATAATTACCATCGACTTATTCAATATTCAATCTTTGCCCAACATCGCTCTGAGCAAAGCTATGGACATATAGCCAGTGATACAAGCTTACTAAATCAAAATTTTCATTTTTACTTTTTAATTTGTTGCGTACATATCGAAATTATTATCGCGTGGAAGCTTTTTCCACTTTAGCCCCAAGGGCAGAGTTGATCGGTGTTATATAAATCCATGATTTGTAAGTTAGAAGTTAGATATCTTAAGAGTAATGAAAAAGACTACACAACTTGTAAGGTAAGAATCTTTTTTATTCTTTACGGCGGGGATGTGCAACCTGCGGGCCAAATGCGGCCCACAAGGAAAATTGTGCCGCCCGCGGGGAGATGCCAATTTTTATTGATATATACCTAAATCCGAGTTATTATCTACGCATATGACAATACAATGTCCTAACAGGTAGCTTGTGCGAAGCGAACAGCGCATTAGATCGATAACAAACAAAAAAAATAGGACGACTAGAAAGCCTATGTTAAATAAATTTGCGGCCTGCGGTTTCACCCAGTCAATTGTATCTGGTCCTCTTGTAAAAAAGGTTGCACACACCTGCTTTATGGAATGGGAATTACATAATTGTGTTTGCAATAAAACATACGAGTCCTGCTATATAATTTATATTAAGAAGTCCCAGATCTCTTCGATTTGCTATATTTTGGAACTATTCGTATTAGAATACAGACAGAATAATCTAGCTACGATCAAAAGGCCGTGGTTCTCCATGTGCTTTGGCTTTACCACCGACTTTTCCTCCGCGGCTGAAAGTTATAAATTTATGATGTGCATAACTGGTCGCGATTGGTAACTGAATGGCCTAAACAGATGATTATAAGACTAGGAATAAGTTTGTTTATATGATCCCAATCGCCACTTGGATGGGATAGGTTTTACATATTTATCCCAGGAGGGAGGAAAGCCGATTAGACGGCTTAGTCATATGGCAAACCACAGCCTCCTGTCCCGTCCATGTCGGGTATGGGATTAGTTATCACGCATTTTTTTGGTTAAAGTTTTTCGATATTTTAAAGTTTTGGGAATCTCATAGTAGTACTGTGGTTTAAATATGGATGCGTAAATCAATACAGTGTGACGGGCATAATTGTGGTTCATATTCTATCATAATTATATTCTGCACAGAATCCGAATAAAATATATATATATGTTACTATCTACTAACGGATTTTAATTTATTTTTCAGAATTAAACAGTCTAAGATGAAATTACTGTCAACCTTGTCGTTGCTGTTGATTGCAACACAGGCGGCAGTAGGAGAGAAGTAAGTTTTTCACTTCACTAAATTATCGAAGTTCAGGATCTAACATGGGCAGGAACTAACTACGGCCCGCGGCCCGGCTGGATAATTCAAACTGGTCCGCCACAACCAAAATCATGTGTTAGCTGAAATATAGCTCAAGGAATTTGTTGAGATTGCCACTAAATTTAGTTTCGCTACGGGGCTCATTGTTTTCCACTTTTGCTCCTGTAACACTGTAAATATAGTTTATAAAATGTCACACTTACATGGCCTGTCAGTCTACTCTAGGTGGTTAAAATTTATAGTCCAAAAACCTTACCCACTCTTGTCTATTGGCTGGTTACTCACAACAACACCAGATTGTCGTAATCGGCATTTCGATAGATTCCATCCGAACGCTTGAACTGAACCTATGCAAGTGTTGGGAACACTGCGGCCGCGTAGGTTGCAGCGGCCTAAAACCGGTCCCAATTGTAAGCCTTTCCTATGCTACTATAATTTAACAATTCAATTTTCGTTTCTTCAGTACCTACTCCATATTCCTGCCTAAATATGTTCGACCAATGACGCCATTTGCCTTCGACGTTGAGATAATCAAGAGCAAAAACCCGGTTCAATTGACCGCTTTTTTGGGTTCGGCAAATTATTTTGTAGAAGGAATGGCGGTCATCCATAACGGTGAGTTATGTTTATTATGTTTTATTTCATATAGCTCCGAACAAGACGCTCCAAGTTATGCGCACTAACATACACATGTCGTGAATGCTTAACAGTGTTTCACTGTGAAATTCCTAACATCACTAGTGTTTATAAGACTAAAATGACCACTATATATGAACAACATTATTCAGAAATAAACTTGTATCTATTTGTGTGTAAAGTAATCTTCACATTCTCCGATTGCGTCCGCATCCCCATCCTTTGTTTACCTGGTTAACCGGAGAATACTCTACGAGTTATCTGGTAGAATAGAATTTACATACATGGCGGGTTAGAAGTTCATCCCATTTAATCTTTGCGTTCAGTGGATGCTTTTTGTGGTTCAGGTGCCAAAGCCGCACTCACAAAAATGAGTTCTGAAAACTCAACCAGTTTCAGCCAGCTTGATAACCAGTTTTGGTTTCCCGCGGATTCCCATTCCCAGTAAAAATGTGTGTTAAATTTAATTTGGAATTTTATTTTCAATTTCGTATGTTATTTTTTCCTGGATGGAAAAAAAAATCGACTTTGACTAATCAATTACTGATGCATAACACTAATTCCACTCATCTGAATTATTTGTATCGTCGTGTTTTCAGGTTCAATCGAAAGAATTGTTATGGAAACGGTAAGCTGAATCTTTTAAGGACTTGTTTATTTAAAATTAAATATTTATGTGTCTCAATGCCTCGTAGGGATGCTTAAACACATTTGTATTCGGGAACTCGATCTGAGATGATAACCAGATGAAAATTGAATGCATGAACCGACAAGACCGATAACCGATTTCGAGTCGATATATTTAGCGGTTTAGGAGTACTACCACACTATGCCCGCCGTTTGAGAATTTATTTAAGCCAGGGTGGTTCAAGTTTGTCCGTTTCGGGGCCACGAATTTATTTTTGCATTACTCGCGGGCAACAAAAGTGCCGGGACCAGGTAAACAGTGCAATACAAAACAAACCCTTCAAACACTTGTCATTTATCAGGCTAAAACATGCAAAAATGAAATGTTTTTCTGGTCAATTTTATGACGAAACAACACCAAATGCAATTTTTGATTACTCTCCAAACGCGACGCGGCCACAGATAATAAAACAGCGGGCCACATGTGGCCTATGTGCCTAGGTTTGGACCACCCTGATTTAAGACGTTTTAAAGTTCTACAACACCATGCCTGTCCATTTTAAACATAAATTAGGTTGTATTGTTATATAAAGCTTCCCGCTGACTACGACGGAGATACAGATTTCACTTTTGAGATCTACGGTGATGACGCAGTAACTGGTGAAAAGTTGTTCGAAAACAAAACTGACGGCGTAATATTCCAGAGGAAATTTGTCTCTATCTTTATCCAAACTGATAAAGCTATATATCAACCAAAACACACAAGTAAGTTTGACACTCATGCTATTTTTTTTTTTTTTAATTTCGCTCAAATGGCGGATATGAACTATTTAGTATACGGTAGAGCTAAGATCTGAAGCCCGACCCGAAATTCGGGCCGGGTCGAGCATGAAATGCCAATCATTACGTTCGGATCAGGTCGGCTTCTCGATTGCAACCTTTTTTTTAAATGAGGCGTTTCGGTCGTGTTTTGGCCACGAGAGACCGTGGTATGTAAAAAAAAAAACAGAAATTGCCTCATCAACACGACACATACTGTACTAAACTCTTGCAATGACAATTTCGGGTTTGCTTCGGGCTCGGGCCTGTAAGTTTAGTTAATTAGTCGGGGTCGGGTCGGGTTCAATACCCACGGGCCTGGGTCGGACTGGAATATTTGGGCCCGATCTTACCTCTGGTCTACGGTACATATTATGTGGTTCTTGGAAAATTTGCGGTAGGAAATTTTGCCGAAGGAAAAATCGCCCTATTTAAAAAGATTCGTTATTTAAGAGCATACCCTAACCTTATAAACCTGACTGTTTTAATCACAAATACTTGTTTTACAGAAAAATTCTTTTGCGATTTTTCCTATGCGGCGACACGATATTATGTATGAAAAGAAAAAGAAAATATTGCCCAATCATATGGTGAACCAATAACTGTTGCCAAACTATCGGGAATGACTTGCCAGTTAGTTTTTTCATTGAGAATAATACAAAGCTTACGCGAACCAACTTCAAGAAGTCCAGCGATTGTCTCAAATATGATTATACTTCGCTTGGATTCAAAATATAAAATCTCCAACGTTATAAGGCTTGAGAACAACGATCTATCTAGTTTGGTACACGCTGGATTCTAGCGATTGATTTCGTTTAAAAAGGTTTTCAAATTTATTTCTTGAGGAGAGGCTCAATCATGCACCACGGCCTGTCGTCCGTTTACTGGCCGAGATCGATTTCAGATGCATGGAATTGTCTTATGGTCTGTCCGGGGTTTAACAGCCCTACTCTGCATAGCCAGAAATTTTCAAGGGGGGGGGGTGTTCTGAAATTTCTATTTGCCAAGTTTATCGAAACAGCTAGCGGGTCCGGCCGACAGCCGGAAAATGTGTGTTTGCATGAGTCTTTGGGTCTAAAAAGCGTTTAAAGCTACGAGAAAAATACAGAAAAATGCTCTCATTTTTTCAAATTTTAAAAGGGGAGGTTCCGACCCCCAAACCCTCCTTGTGCAATTCCAATATTCTTTCAACCATTTGCGTTTTTTCCTATTCATCCAGTTAAATTCCGAGGAGTTGTTACGACACCCGATCTTACTCCACCCGGCCTCACTCCACTTATGCACAGCCGGTACCACCACGATTCAGTTCCGACTGTGACTTACAAACTCACTGATCCGATGAATAATGTTATTTTGATGGAAAGTGACGTCACACTGACCAACGGGGTGGCGGGGTCAGAGTTCAAACTTGGAAGATACGCAACACTCGGTGATTGGAGGATTACTTATAAAGTTTACGTGAGTTGATTTTATAATTGTACAGTGGTGTAGTGGTGTACAGCTCACGGAATACTAACTATCCAGACAGGGCTGGTCCAAGGCCTGACTCTTACGACTTTTTTCCTAATTTTGTACTTAGTTAAAACTATTTATTTACGGTTAAAATTCTGAAGGACTAATTTTGCCCCTTTACAAACTTCTAATTTCGGTTATTAAGTATATTTATGTCTGCCAAGACCGAGCCCGACGCAAGCCGTTTCGCACATGACCCCCCAATGATTAGGGTCAGCCATGTACAAAGGTAATGGTAAGAAGCGCATTTTTATTAGGTTCAAAGGTAACCACGAATCTAGTTCAAGATTTATTAAACAACTGTGAAACGAACAAAAATGTGTCAACTTGACATAACAAACATCGCACCGAAGTTAATCAGACCCCAGCTTAGGCAGTTTCTAAAGTGTATTTCTGTGGTACAACTTGCCTCCTATTGCTGTAATTGTATGGTTTTAGAACCGAAATTAGTTTTCATCGAGACATTGCCTGTTAATATCGACACATTATATCAGCCATTCTGAATGCTGAAACATTTTTTCCTAAAAGAGCCGCCAAGTCTCGCGTACATTGCTATTTGCTAGAGCGCAATTCTACACTATACCGATTCACAGTTTCAGTAGCTCTTGACGCATTAGTGGCCCAGAGATCAATTTCCTATATTTCCCAGAAAATGCTTTGGACAAATTTGCATATAATAAAAGACCAGTAGAACTTTAACAGTAAAAAAAACACCTTATTAAAATATTGTATCTCAATTATACATGAAACGTTTTTTTATCGCATAAAATAAGCTTTAATATAAAACATTTTACTTTGTCGAATTCATATATTTTTATAATGTTATAACGACGGGCTGAAACGGAAATACAAATAAGTTGTATGCCTAATAAGTCTGGCCAACTTTTGATTCATTATCTGTTGATATGTTTATGCAGCGTTTTGAAGTTTGTGCAAAACGTCTAGTAAACGCTTGCGGCTAATATGCGTCAAATGAAGATTAGGAGTCCCAAAAATCTCAACATTGTATAGTTATTATAGTATTCTGTTAAGTAACCGGTCTTGGAAAACCTGTTCCATTACTTAAGATTTTTAGTTTCAATTTGCGCCACAAAAAGTGGTGTATAAAATCTCGGGATTCGAAACTGCTTTTTTATGAGACGATTTTCAAGTCTCACTTCGTACAAGGCCCGGTGCTCCCGTAGTATATGTACCAAGATGTCGCACAACCTGATAATCCTAATCTGGTACACATACTATGTTCAATATGTGCGCCATCTTGGTAATCATACTACGGGAGCACGCAAGGCCCTGCATAAGCTGCCGTTTAAACATAAACAACTATTATTTTAGAAAGTTCTGTTGCTCTTCTGGTGCGGGGTTGGCTGCGCAATTTACTACACAATGGGTGAGCTTGCGGTTTAAACCTGAGGTTAAATGACACCATAGCGAGGTCCACCGCTCCCAACGAAAAGCTGACATGTTTTCCCGAAATTAAGACCTAGCCTCAAAATAAGACCTTGCCTGAATTTTGAAAATCATTTTAATATAAGCCGCCCTCTCCTTAAAATAAGACCTAGCAAGTTTTTAAATAAAAACCTGTTATTTATTTATAAGTTAAATGAATATCGGTTTTCATATTTTGTATATATATTTGAAAATCTTGTAATTCTATACTTTGTTATAGTTAAATGAAAATAAAAGACATCCCCCCAAAATAACCCCTAATAATATTTTTGATGTGAAATTTCAGGGGGAAACGCGGTACATTACCTTGACACGTTTTACAAAAAACTATCACGACGTCCCAAAATCGGGTTTGTCTGGGTTTACCCATTAGTGATTGTCACCCTGTTGTGATCAAAAGTTTCCAAATTGACTATTTTATGTTCAGGGATATGAAGAGAGCATCACAGTATCAGTAGAAGAATATAAACTGCCAAAGTTCAAAGTTGAAATTAAAACTGATCAGAGATTCTTGTATCCTGGGTCCACAAAACTAACCGGAGAGGTTAAAGCTTTGTAAGTAAAGTTCTTTAAATTAGATTAAAAATTAAATTCTTAAAATTTTTGATCAAAGAACGAATTGACTCGAACCAACTTTAAATTCTAACATAATCGGAACCAATGATAGAGCGTTGAATATCTGGCTGGGCAACTCAGTTAAAGCCTGATTTGATTCAAGTCAATTATTTCCGATCAGAGCAGACACGGAGAAGATACGGCCTGTGGGCCAAATTCGGCCCGTTGTGTAATTCAATCCGGCCGGCCTGATATTTGTCACAACAGAACTAAAATGAAATTTTGATGTTTAAGCTAAAAATAGCTCAAGGAATTTGTTGAGATTGCGGTTAAATTTAGTTTTGGCATGGCATATTGTTTTCCACCTTTTCTTTGTGACACTGTAAATATTGTTCATAACTTCTCACGCCAGACTTGCATGGCTCGTCAGTTTGGGTGTACAAATATTTTGGCGCTCCGCGAGTATGTGCACCAAGATGGCGCACAACTTGAACCTTAACCTGGTACACATACTTTGTTCAGGTTGTGCGCCATCTTGGTGCACATACTACTGGAGCACCAAGTTTTTGGCCCTTGCTTCAAAAACCTTGCCCTCCCCTGAATTAGAGCAACAAGTGCCAAGTGATAGCAGGACTCGGATCGAATCAATAATAAATTTAAAGATGACTCGATTCACGAACTCGGTCACTCGAGCTACGTCCTGAGTTGAAGTCGTGCAAACAAACTATAACTTCGAAAATAAAATCAAGTTATTACTTGTAAATATAACTAGGCTTACAATATATCTCAAATAAAAAAAACGCAACAGAGCGCATTGGACCGCCAACCTTGGTTCGATTCTAGAGGCTTAGTAATAGTTTAAAGATTTTCCATACCATTGTGGGTAGATTACAGGTATCTAAATTAGCTGTAAATCCTATTAAAATGTTCTGTATTGATCTTTGCTTCAAATATCGAAAATTGTTCAACTCATTAGAAAACCTGACTTTGTTCTCGGCATTTTGATGATTAAACGACAGTACAGTTGGTTGCTGAATTAACGCATGGTTCATACTTCATATCATAACTATGACATGACAATTTTTTCTCTATCTGAAATATTGAAGTGAGACGCGAATCAGTGAGGAATCGGCTGCCTCCGTTAAAAAAAACACTTTTGTTATAATATCAAATAGAAAAACTATTTATGACTGCCATACTGAAAACCGGGACATTTGGGTGCTGACATTTCCCCGCTGGGGCGGCGGAAAAACTTGCTAAAGCCGGTACTGTCCCAGCTAAACTGGGACGTATAATAAGCCTAAATATAACAGCCAAATCAACAAAGCTGTTAACGCTGTTATACCATAAGCAATACTTAAATTATAATCGTATTTCAATTTTAGGTAGAAATTGTTAAGATGTGAATGCTAAGAATACTATCAAGTCCATGCTTCCGAAAACAAATAACTGACTAACTGATCCCACTGCCGACTTGGACTGGTAACCGAACGATGGGCCATCGTTTGCCATATGATTATCGGCTTTCATTCCTCTACCCGGGATAAATATGTGAATCCTATCCTATCCTAAGTTGTTCATAACTCTGACATCGGCACAAAGGCGTCAATCGCTAAATTAGAACGTTCAAATTCGAAAATGCTAAGGTAATTCGGCGCTCCAGAACTAATTTTGTTTGCTCACTCCACAACAAGTTGTGCAAAGGGAGTGAAACTTATTGGCAGGGAGTATATTCATTTGACTAACGCAGACAGTCTCCAAACTCGTAATATAACTAAAATAAATAATATCGTTATAAAGTTATGGCCTAACCCTAATCTGGTACACATACTACTAGAGTATTGGTAATCCTGTATCCATACCTACCTATCATGCCATTTATCCGTATTTATTTACAGGTTTACTTTTGGACAACCAGTAAGAGGAAGCGGAAGAATTGAATTCACAATTGATTCATGGGAACCCAACATTATTTTGGAGAAATTTGCGGTAAGGAACTTTGAATTTTCCCGCGTGAGTTTTTAATCTCTACTTGCGAAACTCAAAATCTTGATAACCCACTCAAATAACAAATACCTGTTTTGTAGAACCAACGAATTTCCCCATATATTATTTTCATGTAACAAAATTTCTATTTTGCAGAAGTTCGACGGAACAGCTTCATTCTCAGTCAATGTATCTGATATTGTAAATATCTTAAAATGGGATACCGGATATTACTCAAGTCCGCTCAAAATAACCGCGTTCGTCAACGACAAAAACACGGGGGATGAATTCAATGGTAAGAAAGTAATATTGACTGTATTTTCATGACCCTTGACCCCGGAAAAAACAACTTTCTGTACTTTACCATTACGAATTTTCAGATGCCTATTATGTGAGTGTTTTTGTGAATTGGCTCAAAACTAGTTTACATCTAGCCAATCTACCTATATACATAAGTTTATTGATAGAAACGCACCAAACTGCCACTCCGTAGCCCTAATCGTCGGTATAGGGTAAGGGTGTGCTTGATGGGGAAAAATCGGAGTATTGGTAAGGGCCACACCAAAGCGCTTGGTGGGACGGGTTGTTGCCCGTTCACCGCCTGTTGTAAAACCCTGGCCTATACTATTTCTCATATAAAGCCTTGCCTTGGGTCACGTAGGCAAGAAGGAATGCTTTTAATTTATTTACATTACTATTAATAAACAGCTACAACGACTGTTGAACTTCATGAAAAGCGTTTGAAAGTCGAAGCAATTGCAAAACCGAATTACATGAAACCTGGACTTCCATACGTAGCATACGTAAGTTGCTTTATAACGTGCCCGAAAAATTGCCGCAGGAAATTTGGCCGAATGAGAAATCGCCGTGAGAGCATTTTTCCGTAAAACAAGTATTTGTAATAGCATGAAAATCGCTGCAAGACAATTTGCCCGTAAAAAACGTATTTGTGATAAAAACAGTTACAGTAGGTTTATAGGGTTAGGGAATGCTCTTAAATAACGAATCTTTATCAAATAAAAAGTACTTCTAAAATCTAACAACGTTCGATTTACAGCTCTAAATCTTGTTTTGTGTTTTCAGTTGAAAGTCACAGAACAAGATGGGACTCTACTTTCCGATGAAGACAGAGGAAAGTTGGATATGGTTGTAAGTGTTATGTATACGTAAGTCAACATTACAATCTTTGTTAATTTACTTTAAATTAATCTAGCAGTAACGCGTAAGGCACGAGTTGGGCATTTCGAATCAAATAGTGAATTATTTGAATCGTGTTTCGAAATTAACCAAATATTTTTATTTTAACTAGCATCACGCGCCTCAAAAAATAGTCTACGCCCGCCTTTTGCGCTCCCGGCTGCGTTGCTCGTTACCCATTTGATGCGTGCGATTTAAGAGAATCCTATGGGCAGGGGGTATATTCACTTGTCTAACAAGACAGACCATGAACTTGCAATATAACTAAAATAAGAAAAATCAGAATAACATTATGGTCCAACCTTAACCTGGTACACATACTACTGGAGTACCTAATTCATGATCACAGTTATCGATGGCAATGGGACCCATTCGGTGGTGTACGACCAACCGATGGAAGCCAAGACCTAAAGAAAATGTCGGTTCCCATAAAAGTAGGAAAAGACGGTATTGCTTTGTTCAAGATCACAGCCGATACAAGCAACTTCCGATGGGTAATATTTAAGGTAGGTTTAAATTTTGTTGGTTATATGGTATGATTAGACTAAATATCCTTTAGTACGGACTTCAGACGAAACGTTACAGAAACACAGAGTGTTCATAAAGTCCCTTTACAATTTCACTTTTGTTATGAAGTCAGTTGTCAATATATTAACCAGATTTGTTGTATTTTAATCATCAATTGTTTAAGTATTTTTTTACTTCATTCAATACATCTGTGGGGGCCAATTCCCTTTGAAACACTTTATATACTTGTATCTTGAATGACTCAGAATAGTCACCTTTACAAAGGCATAGAATAAGTATAATAAGAATAAGTAGTTAGTTCCACAAAAAACAAATCGATATACAGGGTGTTAAAAAAGGTATTAAGGTAAAATATTTTGTCATGACAACCCTAAAAAAGTAACTGTTAAAAAACGTCAGTCGTGAAATGTTCACATGACATTTTACCGTAATTAAATACTGTTAAAAGGTTTCAGCTGTTAAATGTTTTAGGTAGCATTTCATCTTAACTTCTGTCAATTTTGCGTTACTTTTTTAACACCCTGTATATAAATGATTGGGTTGGGAAAATATATTTTGTTTACCCTAAATACGTACAATGTGAATTAAAAGTTGTGCTCAACACACTGAATTAAACAAGCGATTAAAATAGTATAATGTGTATATATATTTCACTCCAAAGCCGTAGCGTAGACGTGCGTACTTAGTTTACCGTTATCGAGGTTTGTCCTTGGTGTTGTGACTGAAATCACCGTGCCCCCCCGTGTATATATTACATCTTTGTATTAATTTAAACTTCTTTCAAGTACCCGAGATTCGATTCCGAAATTATCAGGTATTCGAAAATGCTCAAGTCAAGTTTATTTTTTTCAACCAGTATATAAAATAAAAAAAACAATAGAACAAGAAAATACGAAAAAAAAAAATTACACAGTTTTACTGGTGATCTGAAGTCGTGGGAAACGAAGCTGGTTATCGATCAACAACACCCAGCCGTACTTCCAACTTATTATTGCTAAGCGCAGAGCTAGTTTACTTTGAATAACTACCAAGTATTGAGGATTTGAATCGAAAAAATATTTGATTCGATTCTGAAATCATCAAGTTATAAAAAAAGGGCTGTAACCTGTTACATATGCTACGTTCCGATGTCCGCCATCTTGGTTCACATACTACGGTAGTACTGCTATAAATGGTGTCATTTCAGGAAACAGTTTAAACAACAAACTCTGATTTCAGGTGAAAAGCCTTTCCTCTCCGAACAAACACGAATACTGGACAAAATGGGGAGCGGGCCCGTTTAAATCACCTTCTAATACATTCATTCAAATTACTACTTCTGATACTACATTGACCGTAGGGGGAAAAGCCAGATTGACTATTTACACCACAGAAGAGGCGGATAGTTATAGATTTACGGTAAGAATAAAAACAATGGTTAATCACCTTATTGCTTTAGAATTGAGGATTTTTGAAAATTTTTCTTTCCCGGCCTACTTTTGTTTCTCAATACTTCTATGGCCCATTAACTTTTCTTGCAAGATAAAAAAAACTACAAGAAAATCAATATTTATTTGCAAAAATAGACACCTTCACTTTAATAATTACAAGGTAGAACTACTCAACAGCAAAAACAGCATCATCGTTCATTTCTACTAGTATCTAAATTAATTTATTAAATAATATTATTTTTAAATAGTTTTGTGTCCCACCTAAAAATATTTATGTGGCCCGAGAATGGACCATGGCCCACTGGTTCAGAACCCGCCGTCTAGATTAGGGATGTGCAACCTGTGGCCCCCGTGCCAAATGCTGCTTTCAGGGAAAATTATGTGGCCCGTTGAAAAGTATATCCGGTGTCACTCTAGTTAATGAAAGAAAACGACCCCAGACACGACAGCTCGGGATAACCATGGCAACCACCCGTTATTGAATAACAAACAAAGAGTACCGGTAGTCATTCCATGGCTGCGGCACGGACTATTGTTTTTTTGTCGCTCCACATAAATCTAGTACTTAGATTTAGAAACGCCCTTAACATACGTAAACCAAACCATCAAATCGACCAAGTAATTTTATATTCTCAAAATTTATAGACGGTTGAAACTGCTGGCAAACCATTCCATATTCCATATATTTGTATAAATTGCCTGTTATTTCTCCTCTATGAAAACCGTTATTTCACCTAATTTTGCCGTTTTATTTTAATTAATGTGATCACTTTTATTTTGCGCTTGGGAACATTTAATTTTGCGCATGGGAACAATTTTTTTTTTGAATGGGAACACCTGGAAACTTTCGTGTTCCTATATTTGAACATTTCTCTCTTGTTTCAACAGTTCCTAGCCAGGGGAAAACTACTCAAGCAAGAGCTTTACACTTCAGCAGAATACGTGAAAGAAACCGACAGTTCTAAATTCAATTACATGTTTGACGTCACCAATGATATGTCACCAAATGTTTACGTCATTGTATCATTCATTCGTGACGACGATGAAATTGTTGCCGACAGCGTGAGAATTACAGTTCAAGCTACCTTCGAAAACAAGGTGGGCATATGAAAGGGTTTTTATTTTTATTTTTTATTTTTTATTTTTTTGGGGGGGAGGGGGGGGGGGGTCGAGTCTTTTATAGTGTCCGTAGCTCTTAGCGTTTTAGTGGTCGCCCGTAGCTTTGTTCAGATTCATTCTCTTTAATTTGTGAGTGAGTTCTAGTGAACTTGTTTTGAGTAAGTATTCTAAACAAATAATTTGAAAAAATACCTTGACTCAAACTAGACTAATCACCAGAGAGATTCGATTTCAGCGAAATATTCTTGCAATGACTTACAACCTGTGTTGCAGAAGTACCGTGATAAACATCAAGCTAAAAGTTTTTTGAAATTTTAAAAGAACTATGGCCCGCGGGCCAAGTTTTTTGCATTTAATTTTGTAACACTGAATATTGTTCATAAAATGTAACTTTTTACGTCCCAGGTGGCCCCTCGTCTAAAAATCTTGCCCACCCGAATCCAACCGTCAATTTTTATACGACGATTATATACATTTCGCTCTGAACAAAGCTCTACACAGCCTACTTTTTGCTTCGGCATTGCACACTCAATTTCTCACATGCAGTTTTCGAGAATAGTATTTCCGTCCTTTAGAACAAATGACAAAAATAACCAGGCCAACGCACTGACAGTATCAAATACTGATATTTCTAATTTTCAATTCAGGTTACCATAACAACAAATACTGATAAAACCGACGCAGGGATGCCAGTTAGTATTACAGTTAACGCAGCAGCAGGATCTTTCGTAGGTCTGAGAGCAATTGATCAGAGTGTTTCACTGCTCAAATCTGGCAATGATATCACAAAATACAAAGTAAGAAATTGGTCGATTTCGTAACACATAACATAAATTCCACTTTATATTGATCTTTATTCATTTGCTCCACAATCGGAATACTGTGACAGGTGGTGCCAGCATCTTTCCGTGCAACCCAGCCGGCCCAATCAGATCCGCTGGGTAACTCAATTTGGCCCGCCTGGTGCTGCCACAACCGAACTAAAACCACATTTTGACGTTTCAGCCAAAAAAAAAAAAAAATCTTGAGAAATTTGTTAAGATAGCCATTAAATTTAGTTTTGGCACGAGGTTTTTTGTTTCCACTTCTGCTTTTGTAACACTGTAATTATTGTTCATAAAATGTACATTTTACGTCTCACTTACATTACCAGTCCAGGTGGGCAAAATTGTTGGCCCCTGATCCAAAAACCTTTCCCACCCCTGGTCCACAAATAAACAAACATGCTTTTTCTCTCAGATTTCCCGAGATTTGGACAAATACGGAGTATCAAGCGGTCCCATTGGATGGGACAGCATATGGAGGGGAGGTGCTGACGTTCGTGAAGTATTTGCTGTAAGTATCTCCCCACGGCTAGCCAATTATTGGACATGTTAGTGGACCTAATGGTCGTTTTGTTATTATTATTATGTTGTTGTTCTTTGTCACAGAAACAATCGCTTTTCTCTTCGATTACTGAATCAATCGCTTTGAAATTTTCAGTGCTTAAAGATTAAATTTTTCGCTAGAAGGGTAGTACTTTTATTTATTTCTTATATGTATAAAATTTGTTTTTGTGTGTGCTATGACGTAATCAAAATTTGCCACTATGTGACGCTACGTGTCTATATATTTGAGCATAGCTCTCTTGTTTTCTATATCGCGCTCATTTAGACCTTTCACTCCGACCAAAGCCTGGTACAGGCACTCACAGATATATAACGTATAAGACTGGGCACTTCGAATCGCATATTCGAATAGTAAATTATTGTAAGCGAGTTGACTTTTATGTATTTCTAATTTCAATGTGGAGCGTTTATCTGTATGATATCGCTCTTAAAGTAATTTCACACTTATCATTAATATGAAATTTTCGAAATAAATACTTCAGGTAATATACAGTCAGACCATTTACAATTGTGAACTTTTAGTTACCTAATTCGGGACTGCAGTGTCAATATTTTTGTTTTTATTTTCTTATGATTAATTAATAGTTAATTATGATTAGTTATGAGCAAGATTGCGAGGATTATTTGTTGTGAGACAAATTAACAGTGCACCGGAATCGGTTTTCAAAGTCGGTGGAACCGCCTCCGATTCGATGGGAGTGCAGTGTCAGTATTTTTGTGAGACATTATTTTCATCTATCTAAATTGCAGTCTTATTTTATTACAGGACTCCGGAATCTTGGTTCTTACCGATGCTCTCGTATATGTAAGCGAACCTGAATGTGAGTTTGGTTTATTACTTACCCGCCTCTGCAATCAAATTCAATCGCCTCGAATTTCACTTTCGCGCAAACCGGGTACGACACGAATTCCACCCTAACCTGGTGCACATACTACGTTCCGCTGTTCGCCATCTTGGTTCGCATACTACCGGAGTACATATACCTCTATATTTTCTCGGTATAACACTTATTCAGTTATGGAATGTACAGATTAGTTAGATGTGTTCGGATAAAAGTGCTACCGCGAACACAAAAATTACGGTTTGGTCAACGAGAATGCAAAGAAGTTTATTAAGTACAGAGTGTGTGATAAAGCATGGTTATTTAAAACCCGTCACGAGAACGCCACAAATTTGTTACGTCATCAGATAACCAAATACCATGCATTAATTTATATAACTAATAAGCTGTGGATCAAAAGTTCGACACATCAGCTTCTTTGAAGCATAACTGACGTCATACCCTGATGACGTCATACAACTATTTTACAGATTTTGGTAGCTTTTTTCGACCGTTTCGGCCTCTTGGAGCTAGACATATGGTAATGGGTATGCCGAAAGGATGCTAGCGTTTGCAAAACCCGCTCTGATGACTCTACATATCAAATTTTTTTATGCCTACTTCGAAGCAGGGTGAGGCAATTTCAAAAACAGCGTTTGCACCTCACACACACGGTCAGGCATTGCATTCACTGCACACGGAAACTATTCCTCGTTGGTATAGATTTCTTTTGTGGGTGTAAGAACTACGAATATCTTGGTTTTGCGGTTCCGCAATCGATATGCCAGTTAACGTTGTTTCGCTGCTGCGTCTGAATTGTTGAGCTGGTACGCTATCTGGAAAATTTTTACTCTATTCAATTGTTTCAATCTTACATTATCTTTGAATTAGTTATATTCAGATAACTGAGGATAAAATACTGATGAATCAATAATTTTAAATACCAACCCACTTTAATCGAGTGATATTTCTAGTTTTTCAAACTTTTATTAGTGAGCGATTACCATGGGTGCGACATGACCGAAGACGGATCTATATATTGCGCAATGCTGATTACGGAAGAGGATTTAGCAGCTTCCACAAACTCTGCCCCGAAAACAAGATCATTTTTCCCTGAGACCTGGATTTGGACCGAAGACAAAATAGGGTTAGGATTAAATACGGTATTCCCGAAGTATGCGAACCAAGCGGGCACCAGAACGTAGTATGTGTACCAGGTTAGAGTTAGGCCATAATTTCTGGTACAAATACTACGGGATTCACTTGACTAGTCCCCTGAACTCGTAATAGAACTAAAATAAGGAAAATAGGTGTAATACTTTGGTCTAATCTGGTACACATACTACGTCCCGGTGTCCACATCTTGGTTTGCATACTACAGGAGTACTCTAAATACTAAATACTGAATGAAAAGATTCATCACCTAACTATACTCCACTACTTGACTTACTTGCCTGAATTAATCTGTATATCCACTGACTTCTAACACTTCTGGTTTGAAGACTCGCAACCTCTAATGCTTGCTATGGCCGAATGTGACCGAGCACCAGGCAGTGCAATATTAGTAACAGCGTCTGCCTCTTCTGTAACAAGAAGTTTTTTCCTGAATCTTGGATATGGACAGATAGTCAGATGGAATGGGAATTTGTGTGAAGTGTGTTGTGCTTTTCAAAGAGTGTCTTGTGTGTTTTGTTAGTCTTTTCGAACTTCACAAATCTTTGAGTCTTGTTTCATCATTTTTGTGATGTTACCTGGCAATCAGATATACCTCGTTTCATCTGCGTGTGTTTTGTTCCTTGTAGTGTTTCTCACTAGAGTTTAGTGCATGCTTCAAAAATTCTTTTGTGTGACAAATGTTAGTCATATGTAGTTGCCTATGGGGTCGTCCAACTGGTCTTCACAAATAATGTCGTTCAAATGTCATTTCCTTCATTTTCCTAACATACGGTCTATATGGCAAATCAGCAGCAGAAAAGGTCTTTCAGGTGGTGATTGGAAATTTGGGATCATATAAACATCACTATTTCTAAATGTAGTTGTATAAACTAATTAATGCTCACAATACATTACATTTGATGTAGCGGCATGAACTTACTAAATCCATGTTTCTATTTTTTCTTTGGTATTGTATATGCTTTGGTATTTTCAGAGATTATCGCTTTCGTATGTTACCAACCAAGACTTAAAGTACTTGCAACCTTTTTTACAGCCATACATTCATAACAAACCTGTCTCTATATATACACCTCAGACATTTCAAAGACCATTTTTTCTAACTAGTTGATTTAACCACTTAAAATAAATGCGTGCGAGTTGGCATCCAATTCTGCTTTATTTGAAACTTTCTGTCTGAAATCATTACTTTCAACCAGCTTAGTAGAAAAATGATCTACATCTGCCTGCTTTGGCCAGTATTGTTATTGCCTTAACTCCTTTTTTAAAAAAAAAACTTGCATGATTTTACCATTAGATTACATTGTGAGAAAAATAGTTGCATGAAATATTTAAAATCACATATACTGACTTGATAGCATGTTTGCCTGCTGTAGTGTAGTTTATTGCATTTTTATTGTTAATTGGTATTGTTTCAATTGGCATCTCAAAAATGATAAAAAAAATCTAATACAATGTATATCCAGGGAGAATGGTTCAGCAACTTTTACCTACAACACTCCTGATACAATCACTACCTGGGAGCTCAGTAGTTTTGCTGTTTCTGATGAGAAAGGTCTTGGAGTCACTGATGAAACATCAAAGGTTTGTTGGTCTGCTCGTCATCATGCTATTTACATACATTGGAAAAGTAACTAAGACCAAATTAATGATGTGAATGAAACATGTGACGATGTAAAATAAACCACAAAAAATAACTAGCTAACAGTAAGCTACAAATAACAGTTAGTAAAGCTGTTTTATTCAAAAAAATGTACTACATGTAATGGAAATACATGGACGGAACTTAAATATACAAAATAAAGAAATGTAAATATCCAAAATAAGGCGGACAAGATTTAATTTGACAAATGTTTTTATTTTTAATTAGCTTTACATGTCCCTCAAAAAATTGTCTACGCCCTTTTGAGTGGCATCCAACCGTTTGAGAACCCCTGACATAGTTTTATATTATAAATCAAAACCGAATCAAATATGTGTAATGAAACATGTGACGTTGTAAAATAAACAGTGTTGCCAGTATTTGAGAACCATACTTATAATCATAAATATGTGATAATAAACGAGCACTGAGTGTTAGGAACATGGTCGCCATCACATCACACTACTGACACCAGTCAGAGCAGTTTAACCAACTGTTGGCTAATTAAGGCCCCCTTTACTTCCTGTCTATACACAGGTTGTCCAAAAAGCCCCTTTACAATTTCAATTTTGTTATAAAGTCAGTTCTCAATATATCTTAACCAAGTTTGTGTTTTAAATCAGTAACTGTATTAAATTATTTTTACTTCATTTAATACATCTGTGAGGGCCAAAACAATACATGGTATCGATAAATTCCCTTTGCAATTTATATATATTTAAAACAATTTCAACCCACTATCCTAGCTTGAAAAAGTAATCAGATGAAAGCATGTGGTTAAAATTGTTATTATATAAAATCTGGCGAACCAATTTGGCATCCTGTGGCTGATAATTGCCGGAGTCCTAATAGTGAGGGGGTGTTCCACATGCCTACTTCGTTCCTATAAATTGTAATGTCCTAAAACAGAATGCAGTTTGCCTCTCGTTAAATTCAAAATGATCATTGATGCTGCCACTTTAGGGATTAACTTCATCTTAACATGAAATCGGAATTTCAATTTAACTTTTCTTTGTGTCACAGATCACAGTCTTCCGCAACTTCTTCATCTCCCTGAATCTTCCTCCAACCATGATCAGAGGAGAAAGACTCAACATGAAGACGACTCTCTTCAACTACTTTGATGATGAGCTTACAGTGAGTTATCCGAACTTATAAAATCGATTTTCATCATATTTACAAATAGATTTATAGATTTGTCAACCAAAAACATATACATGAAAGCACACATACAATAGAAAAGGCACACTGTTTTCCGGTAGCGACTGGATGGAGCAATACGACGATACGGCCATCAGAGTCAGCTCATATTGGGTCAGATTATGTATTACAGCTTGTGAAGAATCTTCAATAAGGAGCAAAAAATATGAAAAATTACAGAGAATCTTGAAAAAAAAACGTGAATGTCAATCTTTTAATTAGGCCTTGTCTCTATATAAACGTTTTTTTCTTATGTGGGTGACAGTCACCAAAATAGTATAAAAAAGAAGCTCACTTCCCAGTGTTTATAATTTTGTTGAATTGAATATAAAAAGTCAGGCTTTAACATTTTAAGCCCCTTCAATAACTTACCTCTTTTATGTGAGTGCCAGTGACCAAAAGTTGTCTATTTAACCGTTTTACAATTTTGTTGAAATAAAATTTCAGGTCACTCTGACTCTTGAGGAAAATGAATGGTATGACCTTGTTATCCCTGGGGATGACCCAATTGCTGCTGGACCAATCAGAACTGTGACAGTCCCAAGCAAAGATTCAGTGACCGTTGTTTTCCCGATAACATTCAAGAAAGTTGGAACAGCAAGAATCTCAGTCTCAGCAACGTCACCGATAGCTGGAGATGCAGTAGAAAGAACTATGGTTGTTAAAGTAAGAATATTCGAAAAATCTTGATTATATTATAGTCTTGCTTCACACCAACACGGATAGCTCAAAAACCTGTGGCTCCGGAGTCGCATGTGACTCTTTGTTCTCGGCGCTCTGAATAGCGTTTTATCTGACAGATGATTGACCCTTGAAACTCGAATCGTTTACCACTGACATAGGAAAACTACGCCAGTGGGATCGTTGCGTAATTTATTCTGGCCCGCCTGATGCTGCCACAATCAAACTAAAATCAAATTTTGATGTTTTAGTAAAAAATAACTCAAGAAAATTGTTGAAATTGCGATTAAATTTATTTTAGGCTTTTGTTTTCCACTTTTGCTTTTGTAACACTGTAAATATTGTTCATAAAATGTAACTTTTACGTTAAACTTACATGGCCCACCAGTCTGAGTGGGCAAAATTCCAGTCCCCTGCTCTGAAAACCTTGTCCACCCCTTATTTAGAATAATTATCTCCACTCTTACGCAGAACTCTTGTGTATCCCCGACTTACAATTACATTCATTAGGGCATTTGCAAGTCTAAGATTTATCCCATGTCCCATGTAGAATCCCATGTCAGCTTATTATGTATCAGTAGTGGCTGCTAGTATATATCCTTGCTCAGGGTAAAGGATAAAATTTTGGTCAGGCTCTTAATCTTTTATGGATTTTGTATTATTATTTTACTTAGCCTGAGGGAATTCAGAAGATTGAATCTCACAGTAGTATCATTGACAAAGAAACAGATGATGGTGTTCCTGAATCAGTAACTTTCAATGTCAACATTCCTAAAGATGCCGTGGAGGGGTCAGCTCGTGTCAAGTTCTCTGTCTCAGGTTTGATATTAAAAATTGAACATTTGATTAGTGTTTTTGACAACTAATATATCAATAATCAGCACCCAGTACCTTTTTCCGCCAGCTTTAATACTCTCTTCAAATCATTGAGCTATACATGCACTGTGCTTTGAAGTATAAAAATAATTCTTGCCCATTTTTGTCCAGGCAACATTCTTGGAAGCGCTCTCAGTAATCTTGATAACTTGTTACAAATGCCGAGTGGATGCGGCGAACAAACTATGGTCGGCTTCGCACCTGATGTTTATATCAGTTTGTATCTGAAGAAAGTTGGTGAATTGGAAGGAAAAATTAAACAAAAATCAGAATCTCATATCAGAGAAGGATACACTAATGAATTGAGGTGATTGTATAGTTTGGTTTGCAGGGTTGATTATGTGCGAGAGGATTGCTGGACTCATCTCCGCCAGAGGAAGGTACATATAATTGATTTGCCATATGATTACGCTGTCTTATCGGCTTTCCCCTCCCCTTGGTAAATATGTTAATCCTGTCCTATCCTAAAAAAATTTAGAAAATATTGATAATATTGGGAATTCTATTATAATTTGTGGAGTGGATTTTTTCATTGAATTATGTTATTCTGTTACACAGATACCAACGAGATGATGGCTCATTCAGTGCATTCGGTTCAAAGGATCGTTATGGCAGTACATGGTTGACCGCATTTGTTGCAAAATGTTTCATCGCAGCTAAAGAACTCAATAGTGACCTTATTGAAGAGTCAAAGGTCAACCGAGCCATCAACTTCATTCTCAAACAACAGAATAAAGACGGAACATTCAAGGAACCAGGAAAAGTCATTCATAAGGATATGCAGGTTTAAGTAATTTTTTTTAATTGGGGGGGGGGGGGGGTTACTCAATTCAAGATCACATGCACTGACTTAAAACATCAAGGATATTTCTCTCTTATTGCAATAACAGGTACCACTGAAACTCAGAGCAAGGTGACAAGCACTCACTTTGAAATAAAGAGGTTTAATCTCTAAGCCAATTTATGGATGACTTGTTAAATTGCCAAGAGCTATTGAGACTATAAAGAACTAAGATTTAGAATTGTGCATCACTGAATACTGATTGCAACGAGATTTGAAAGCAGTCCATGTCAATACGATCATTCTGTACTATTTAAAATTGATTTGTTCACAACATCGTTCCAATAAGAACAGCAACAACAATAAAACTAAGCCATTCATAGGTTAAATTTGTGTCCAATAATTATCTTATTCATAGGCTGGCTAGATAGATAAATATTGGCAGAATGTAAGATCAACTATTCCCATACCTGACATGGACTATCAACAATACAAGAGTAGATTACCATATTCTTAAGCTTTCAGAAATAGTTTTAGATAAAAGCCAAATAAAAATACATTGGTACAACTTTATTTCATTTCTTAGTTCTCAGTGTGTTTTTGCAACTTTTCAGTAATTACTTTAACTTAAACATGAATATGTTCATTCCAGGGAGGAGTGGACAGCGAAGAAACATTGGCCTCATATATGCTGATTGCTATGTCTGAAGGAAACTGGAAAAAGAATGAAGTAAGTATGAGTTAAGATTAAAATTCGCTCCATCCATTGCCTTTCATAGGTGAATTTGCTCAAAGAAAAGGCAAGCGCTCTCAGTCATATATATTCATCTTTGAGTTGAGTTTCTGGCGATTTGTAAAAGTTCATGAGCTCCTGAAACTACAAAGAGTAATTCTGGTGCATTGTAGCTTGCCAATGAAAGATTGGTAACAAAATTTTTTGATTGCGTGATTTGATTTATATATTGTCAACTAAATTGCTGAATTTTAAGGTGTGAACTCTCTAACTATCCTGGTTTTGGTATAATTTCCTATTCATCAGTTCACTAATAATGTTGACTTGACCAGAGCCTTGTTCCGAGTAAAGTGTGCATCATAATACGTTACATAATTTCTCAGGATGCGGAAGCTGCAATGAAGAAAACTCAAACCTATTTGGAATCCAGAATTGAATCAGTTCGAGATGTTTACACTCTGTCTATCATGGGATATGCTTTTTCTCTTGTTGAAAGCATGGAAGCTCCAAAGATATTGAACATCATTGATAGCATGTCAACTGTAAAAGGTATAGAGATGCCAAGATTATGTTTTTCTAATAAATAACAAATAACTGGCAAACTAATCCCATACCCGACATGGACTCGTAACCGTACGAGATGGCATGGTTTTCCTTTTGCGCTGGAATAAATATGTAAATCATATCCTTTCATAATCCTTAATCAGATAAATATACAGGGTTCGTCTCTGAGAGTGCAAGGGTTCTTGGCCTTCTGAGTAGTTTGTTCTTTTATAAAGTACTTATTTTGTGCTTTCAAGGCGTTTCTATCAGTAATTGATATGTCATGTTTAATAATAAAAAGCTGACAAACGAATAAAAGAGAATAAATTAATTGCAGCCAAAAAAATATAAAAACAAATTAAGCAAAGTTTTGGATAAATTACCGTAACATTGAACCGATACATACATATGCATTTGTCTTTAAAATCCCAGTAAAATGAGGTTTATCCCATTTTCGTGTTTGCCAACACTTTTTTTAGAATTTTCAACTAATACTTAAATTTTCCATGAATTCTTACAGCCAACATGAAATACTGGGTAAAAAAGACAACTGGAATGTCAAAATGTGAAGCAAGGAGAGAATATTGTCCGATGGATGATGATAAACCAAGCACAGCGTCTATTGAAACTACAGCGTACGTTCTGTTGACTTATGTAAAGATGGGACGAGAAGACATCATGCCCATTGTTAGATGGCTCGTTGAACAACGTGGTGCATTCGGAGGATACCATTCCACACAGGTATGTTTGACAAGGAGAATTCATTCATTCTTTACTTTTATTACAGATATGTAAGATAGCACAAAATATTTGAACATGTGAATTGTATCACATTTATGTGATACCAAGTGATTTACCCTTCTATTTACTTTCCGTTCCCTGAGGATGAATGTATAATAGTTTCTTACTTCATATCTATAGCCCGGGCTATGGAGCCAAGGTTAAAGTTCCACACAGGTATGTTTGACAAGGAGAATTCATTCATTCTTTACATTCATGCTCAGTTATTTAATTTTGTTGACAAAGTCGAAGCCGAGGGAAGCATCGACCAAAACTGAGTAATATCAACTATTCGCAAATACATTCTGAAATAAAAATTTCAAATATGTTATGTTGGGTTATGTTCAACAAAGAAATAGAGAATAGTAATAGAATTTACAGATTTATCCCGGGGTAGAGGAAAGCCGATAAAACATGGCAAACCACGGCCTCTCGTCCAATTACCGGTTCATGTCGAGTATGTGATTAGTTAGCCAGTTAATTGTTTTCCGAAGAGACTTGAGAAGAACAAAAAACACAATAAGTTTGAATACAGAAATCCAAGAAAGTTACATCGAGGATAGACATGTGTTCTGGTAGCAAGAGGCTTCAGTCTGACATATGATAAAGCTTCCTTATTAGCTTTTCTCTGTAATAAATTATTCTCTTTTATATTACAGGATACTGTTATGGCAATACAAGCTCTTTCCACAGTAGCCGGTTTATTCTCTGAACGTACAATGAATCTCGATATCAAAGTAACTCACAGCGGGGATAAAAA